TCAGTTGCCCCTCTACTCTCCACTCTGCCCACAGAAGGTGGGCAGAGCTGTGAGTGCATAATATATCCAAGCACTTATTTATTGGTGATTCATATGAAGCCTTTGTTCTCTGCAGTTACTGCATTGTCAATTCAAATTAATTTTAAGGATAATTTGTATGGGTAGTGGGGGATAGATAACAGGAGTTTAGGCAACCATCACCCAAAAGAACTCACTGAAGATGCTAGAAGGGAAAATCTAAATTTGCATGAACTGACTTCTCCTGCTACTCTTGAGGTGAAATTCTGCTTTTTGTTTTCATCTGCTGTGGGAGAAACTGCCACATCCTAGAAGATTAAATTTACTTTAGTTATTCTGCAGGGTGGTTAGTGGCACAGTGAATAAACACCTCGCCCTCTGCTCTCTAGAATCTTTCAAGTGCTCTTCACCTTGCGCACAAGGGAGCCTGTAGCAGGCACCTATTTGAGGGAGGAAGAGGGAAGAGGGTGTGTTTCTGCAAAGCCAAGCCCTTGCTCTTAACCCTGAGTCACTTTGGGGAACACCAGGCCCTCACGTCCCAGATTTCTGTCGACATCTCCTTTTTAAGGAGGAAACAGGTATTTCCTGACACTCTGATTTCAGCCTTCAGAGGCTCTTCAGGCTGTCTTGAAGCTGAGTGCCCTCTCTACCACTTCACTTCTAAGAAAGAGGAGAGAGCAAAAATACCTCTAAAGAGAGCCAGTGCATTTCCTAGATAAGCAGGAGTTACAGAGCTGTTGCTGAATTTCATAAATTTCCTGTTAGAAATGAGGAGTGGCAGGCACCCTTGGAAGATGGAAAATATAAGAAAGAAACTTCCTGTTAGTAAAATCAGTTAAGAACATCTGGAAGTCCATTATGTTCTCTTTTTTTTCTGAACTGAAATCCCAACTCTCATATTTAAACACTCAGTGTAATAAAAAACCATTAATAGAATGTTTTCCTCCAGTTAACAATCACTCCTAATCAGGAATTTACTGGCTTATAAGTTGTTTTTTGGTGAATGTTTGCAAAGAGGCAAAGGTCATGATCTAGGTAGATCAACCTCTTTTTCGTGACCTAGCTCTCCTCCAGAAATAGCCCAGATCAAGGACAGAATAGCATCGAAGAAAGACAAATCAGAAAAGAAAAAGTGTTAAGAAAGCTGACAACAAATGAAGTTAAAGAAACTGAAGAATGAATATTTATTACACCTCTTTTGTTTGCCACGATCTTTGATATGTGTTTTACATTAAAAAGTAAAATATTAGACAGTTTATATTTTTTAAAATGATAATACATTGGAATGGTATAGAATATCTTTTAAAAAATGATAGTATATTAAGACAATATATAATTTGAGTAAGTAAGAGTTTGGATGAAATCCAGGAGTTTAAAGTCACTTTATAATCTATATTGAAAAGGAATGGTTTTCCTAAAGTAGTATTAAAAAAAAAACCCTGAATATTGAGAATATTCTTAAAAATATATAAGAAAAATCAGTGCAGTTCTAAAATGTCTTTCCTATCATCCTCTCTCCAGAATTTGGCTTTCTTCTTCTTCCAAGCACAGTGCTCATGCCTGTCTTTTGCCCCTGATTCTTGAAACCAGACCTGTCTTATTCAGATATGGAAGGTGGCCTTCGGGCACGGCTGGCACAGCCTCCCTCAGCCGACTGGAGGAAATGGGGTGGGGTTGCCCTTTGGACAGCCCTTTGCTGGCCCTCTGGTGGAAAACTGGGTTTCCTAACCAGCTTGGGAAAGTGGGACAGGCAAAGAAAGCCATCAATCATGGTGGGGCGCAGTGGTGCACACCTGTAATCCAAGGGGTCTGGAGGCTAAGGCAGGAGTATTGTGAGTATTGTGAGTTCAAAGCCAGCCTCGGCAAAAGTGAGGCGCTGAGCAAGTCAGTGAGACCCTGTCTCTAAATATAATACAGAATAGGGCTGGGGGGATGTGGCTCAGTGGTCAAGTGCCCCTGAGTTCAATCCCCAGAACCCCCTCTCCCCAGCCCCCTCCCCCCCCAAAAAAAGAGGTCGACCCTTTCACTTTTGGCTGAATATGAAGCCAGAATTCCCAAGGCCGTCGCCCTGCACATTTTGAAGAAGGTGGGGCTTTACATGCGTTCATATCCTCTATTGGGCCTCTTTCTGGCCACCAGGCATGCGGTTAGCCATATGACAAGTAGTCCTGCGATACTCAGGCCCACAGCCACAGGGATCTCTCTCCTGTTTCTGTCACTGAAGCATTCGTCCGCTGTAATTGAAGTCAGAGTAACAGGTGTTACAGGCTGGCCACAAAAGCTGGGAAGTGATATTGCCCCTGTCTGTCTCAGTGTCGTAGAAAAGGAAACTGAAAAAGAGATGAAGCTCTGGGCCTCCACCTGCTGCCTCAGACAACAGATGGGTGAAAACAGGAAGGAAAAGGATCAATACAGTGGATCTGAAATGGGTAGGGCTGGTAGTTGCTTAAGGAGTTTATTCAAAGGTAGATCTACAGGCCCCATGCCCAGGAATATGGAATTTAGTGGGGCTGAGGTGGGGCCTGGGGACTCCCATGCAGCTGGGAGGCAGATCCAACCTTGGGCAACACTGGTTTGGTCTAGAGGGTTATGACTGGAGTCCTGTTCTAACTCTCGAATCCAGATGAGCCCTGGAGCTGGGTCCTCCAACTCCAGTTCCTGCACCCAAGTTTTCTATTCAAACTCTTTTCTTCTTAAAGGGGCTGCTGGAACAACCTGGTGTTCCTTGGATGACAGAAAATTTAAAAACAACAACAAAAAAATATGTAAAAACCGTAAAAAGAGAGCAAAAGTAAACTTCTTGTGGGCTCCCGTGTCCTAGGGAGAAGAGGTATGATGCAGAGGTCAGGGTTTGAGGTTTGGGGTGATCTTTTTTTTGACAAGGCTGAACTTTTGTACTTGTTGGATTCCTCTCCATTTAAATGTTAACCATTGGCCAAGATTTCCCTAACTCCACCCTCCGTCTGCCACCAATGCTGTGTCAATCGAATCTTCCTCTATACCTCAGTAGCCCTTTCATATGTCTTTTTTTTAAATTATTTTTTTTAGATGTTGATGGACCTTTATTTTATTCATTTATTTATATGTGGTGCTGAGAGAATCGAACCCAGTGCCTCATACATGCTAGACAAGCACTCTACCACTGAGCCACAACCCCAGCCCCTGCACATGTCTTTTTAGCACCATATTTTACAATAGCCTGCTCCTTTTGATCACCATCTCTCATTCTCTGATTAAAAAATACTACTCAGGTGGTGGCGCACGGCTGTAATCCCAGCGTCTTGGGAGGCTGAGGTAGGAGGATCACAAGTTCAAAGCCAGCCTCAGCAACTTAGTGAGGTGCTAAGCAACTTATCAAGACCCTGTCTCAAAATAAAAAACAAATGGCTGGGCATGTGGCTCAGTGTGAAGCGCCCCTGGGTTCAATCCCTGGTACCAAAAAACAAAACAAATGAAAAAATAACCCCCCCAAAAACTGTTAAAGGAATGACATAAATCTTCCCATTTGAGCATGTGCAGGGAGATCTGAAGAATAGCAAAGGCCAGGAAAATGGAGTTGAGCTCCAGCAGTGATGGTGGGGTAAACGAGAATATTCTGGCAGTAGAATCAGTAGGGCTTTGTGAGCGTTTGGTGAGAGGGTGGAAGAGAGGAGCGAAGGATAACAGAGCCTCATGCTTGAGGACTCACCAATGAGCAGTGAGTTTTAGGAAAACAAAGTAAAAAAAAAAGAGCTTCTCTCCATCTGCTTTTTAGCACTGATAATAGGAGCCAGGTGTGTGTTCCTGAAAGGTGTGATTCCCCAGCCCTGCTCACTTCCTGCCTCACAGAGGTTCTGATGGGGAAGATGAGTAAGTGTGGGCCTCATTTTAATTTCACATGATCAGTCATGGAGGGTTTCAGACCTTCATCATGTGCTTTAGAAAAAATACTTTCCCTACATTTGAAGTTTTGAGACCAGCTGACAAAGTGTTTGTTGCTAATTTTACTATTTAACCTGAGCTCTAAATTTTACTATTTAACCCTGACTGTAAAACCTGCAGAAATCAGGGCTCCAAGGCGAGCAACGCCTGACGCCTTAGTCTGCTAAGTGTTTCCCACTACATCGGAGGTGTTTTCTGCTAGACGCATCTTTGATTTTATAATGAAACCCAATGTGAAGTCAGATTCTTACTATAGAAATTTAATATATGGCTAAACATGGCTAAACTTCTAGCTTAACCTATATTGGATAATTGAGAAGAACTTATATAAGATTTTTGATGTCTCCTGTGAGGGATATTTTAGAAATTGAAGCTCATGAGCCTCTGATCATAAGTAAGAAAACTTGTGACCCTGCTTTCTGGGTGGGGAGAAAAAGGCTTTTCTGGAAAGTCACCCTACTCTGCTCCTGGCCCTCATCCAAGGGCTGGTTTCCTTCCTGGGCAGCATCAGGCAAGCTCTGCCTGTGGTGGTTCAAACCCAAAGCAGAAGTTAGATGGAAACTAAAACTAACTATGGGGAAACACTGTTAGGTAGAACAACCCATACCGAGAAGAGGGGATCCAACAGAGTTTCTTTCTTTTTCAAATTTTGCTCCTTTCCTTCCGCAGGTGGGAAAGAATCTATTCTGAAAGCATCAATCACTAATTCTCAGGATCTTTAAAGTGTTCTCCAAACATGCCAGAGTTCCCCAGGGCTCAGTAGCATGTATAAGGGAGGTCACACATGTGCTTCCTGATGGATTGCGTGTGTGTTGAAATGAGTGAGAATGTGTTTTGGTTGGACAATGTGAATGCATCCTGCTGGGAGAGAGCTGTGAGTGTGCATGAGTTAAGGCATCTGGTTCTGAGGAGAGAGTGGCCAGGGGGAACTCTGTCCTTAGAACTTTGTGGATGTTTCTATTCTAGGAAGCTCATGTGATTCCTTCCCCTTAAATAGCATCAGACAGAACATGACTTGGAAGTGAAGCCTATGTTTGTGGCTTGATGAACCTTTAACTTACCATTTCCAAAGTGATCTCCTTCGAAGTCGAAGGCTTGAAGTTGGACGTTCATTGTTTTCAGCTGAAGCTGCGGGGACAGCTGGATGCTCTGTTCACTCACACACTTGAAGGAATGCCCAACCACTGTCTCAAACATCATCACAGCACTTTTCATGCCTTTGTAAGCTTTCTCTGAAGAGAAAAAGTGAAATTTACCTATAAAAAAATTCTGGCCTTTCTCCACTGAGTCCCAGTTGTTGCTGGGCGGGGAGAAAAATGTGACCCACGTGCCACATTAAAGGACTTTTTTTAGATGTGGCTCTCTGAGGGTCCTGCTACCTTTTCCTCATGAAAAAAATACCCTTATTTTGGGGGAGGTTCTGGAGAGGGGGGGAATGTCTCACAGAAATGTTGAGGATTCTGAAGTGAGAACTTTGAGGAATGCTTCCTCCAGTTCTTTTAAATCACTGGAGATGGTTGTCAGTGCTTAAGAGGCACCCACAGAAATTTTAATAATAAGAGAGGACTGCTCTCTGACACAGTCACATGAGCCCTTAGTGACCCAGAGCAGAGAAAGGCAAAGTCAGCAAGTGGAGCGTTCGCATATCAGTGGCTGAGTGTGTAATAGAGTAGGAGGAAGAATTCAGCAGGAGAGGATGTCACATCCACCCATGGAAACTGAGAAGGGCAGGGCCTGTCTCTTCTTCCCTTCTGAATGCTATCCTCAGCCTGCCATGCCTAGAAGCCCTATGTGCTTGGCCTGAATGTCCCTCAGACCTCACTGGCTGTATGTTTCTTCTCTTGGACACACTGGTGCCCTGCTGGCCCTTGGCACCCCAGCAAGCTACTTGGTAGAGTGCTCAAGGACGGGCCCTGTCTTATGACAGGTGCACCCCTCTTCAGGGAGGTGATACTTCAAGGTAGATTAGGTTAAGGATTTTAATCACATAATGAATTTTATTGGCTCTAATTCCACACTTGTCAAGCACCCTTCTTCCTGTCCATAGTTAGGCTTCTTGAATGGGAAAAAACTCGTTGGCCAGAGGACCCAACTGTCTTGTCTTCTTGACCATTATAGCGAGAAATAGCCACGTGATCAATTAATAAGTTGGCATTAAGGTCTGCATTTTATGTGCAAATGCCCTAGATGTTTCCTACATATGACCAGGAGTAACTCCTAACAGAGAAGAGAGGATCAACAGAGTCTTTCTTTCTCAAATGACTGCATCTTGCTCTTTTCCTTCTGGAGGTGGGAAATAATCTACTGTGAAACTTGTGCATATTACTGTATCATGTGATCCTGATCCCTCTCTCCCCACACCCATGGTCTGTTATTACCATCTCCACTAAGAGTGCGACTGCATTAATACTACAACTACAACTGATTGCTGCTACTAATAGCACCATCACAGCCACTGTCACTATAGCTCCTGTTGCCAATGCTAAGTCTTGATCATTGGGACCTGGGATCATATTTCCCCTTCATCAGCATCTAAATTAATTTCTGGTCTGACTTTCCCTTCCCTTGACTCTTAAGATGACTACCTTATCACTGGCAAAAATTTGATCCACGCCTAGTGATAACATCAGTTAATTTATGTTAGCACTCACATATTTATTCCCCAGCGTATATGAGACAGGTTTGAGTAATGCACATGAAAATATGTTCTCAATATGATATTTTACTTACATTTAACCAATAATCAATAACCCAATCCTCCTGAACAATATCAACATAATATAGTAAATATTTTAAATAAATATTACCCCACATTTTCATTTTTTTGTCAAGTTTCTTTAGTGTAAGTTTCTTAATTAATAGAATAATGTTTAAGCTAATCCAAAGGTAGAACTTTGAAAAGGAGAAAACAGACACAAAGTCTGCACAGAGAAAGGGGGTCAATACAGGTGTGTTATCTAAGAGTAGGCTTTCTGGGGAAACATCCGGGGCCTTTGGGAGACTCACTGGACTTTTTTGGAAGCATGACTGGTCCAGTAGTGAACTCTGTAGGACCCCCCCCACCCATGAGTAATTCTCCATACAGCAACCAAAGTGAATTTATAAACATAAATGGGATATATCATTTTCCTACACCAAATCCTCCCACGGCATCCTTTCACACTTTAGAATAAATCCAAAGTCCTCAGTTTGCTTTCCACACAGGTGCTGCATACTCCAGCCTGGTCATCCCCCAGACCTTGTGGGTTGTGAGTTCCCTGTCTTGGGTGCCGAGGTGCCCTGCTGGTCCTTATGTGCTATAGTAAGCTCGCTTGGTACAGCCTGTGCATCTATTGTCCTGCCATCAGAAAAGAGCTTGCTCAGGCCCAGATAGTCCTATATCTGCTCAAACCTCACTTCTTCAGAGCTGCCTTCCTCCCCTGAGGGTTCCCTAAGGCTGATCAGAATCAGCTTTCCATTTCTCTCCACTACTCATAGAAGGTACCAGCCCTAAATAGTGTCCTATAATTTAATGTGTTCGTGTGGGGTCCCCTCCCTTTCCAGAATGTACGTTCCATGAGTGCAGGAATTATCAGTTGGAATAATTAGGGATCCCTAATGGCTAATAACAAATGGAGCTTGGCCTTCTCTTTATTTTCATAGAATGAGTGTGTGATCCCAAGTGTAGAGAATAATTTGCTCTACTGAAACAGCCCCTTTGAAAGTAAAAACTTCCATGTTATTTTTCACTTCTAAACTTTTTCATACTGAGAATGGAGGCTGAGGGGTTGTCCCTTGGCCCTGACTGCTCTAGGTAATCTGAGACTGTGACATATTTCTGATTTACACAGCTAAATCTACATGTTTGTCTCCTGCTTTTTGTTCCTGTGCCCCTTCTCTTTTAATAGTTTTCTGTGACTGAGTGCAGTGGCACTCCTTTAATCCCAGCAATTTTGAAGCCTAAGGAAGGAGATGGCAAGTTTGAGGCCAGTCTCTTCAACCTGGCGAGGCCCTAAGCGACTTAGTGAGACCCTGTCTCAAAAGTTGGTGGTGGGGTCTGGGAATGGAGCTCAGTGGTGAAGTGGTCTTGGGTTCAATCCCCAGACACTGCCCCCCCCATCCTCCACCCCCACACCCCGCCAAAAAAAAAAAAAGTTTTCTATTCTCCTGAGTCCTGGAAGATGAGCTTTGAGACAGAAAGATCTCTATCTTTCTTCCTCAGAGCTGGTTTTGAATAAAAACCTCTTTTTCTCTCTCACCAACCTGCCTCTTTTTTTTTTTTTTTTTTTTTTTTTTGGTACTGGGGATTGAACCCAGAGGCACTTAACCACTGAGCCACATCTCCAGTCCTTTCTATATTTTATTTAGAGAGTGTCTCACTGAGTTGGTTAGGGCCACGCTAAGTTGCTGAGGCTGGCTTTGAACTTGTGATCCTCCTGCCTCAGTCAGTAGGAAGTGCATGCAGGTAGCAAATTACCCCAGGTTCTCTTGCAGGCTACTTCATTATTATTATTATTATTATTTTGTAGTTGTAGATGGACAGCATGCCTTTATTTTATTTAGTTATTTTTATGTGGTGCTGAGGATTGAAAGCAGGACCTCACATGTGTTAGGCAAGCACTCTGCCACTGAACTCCAGCCGGAGTCCCCTACTTCCTCATTTTGTTTCTTAAAAAGCAGCATCAAAGATTAGCAGATTCAACAATATGAAAAATGAGCTAACCAGAAGCAGAGTATCATGGCTGCTTGAACAGCCATTCTCTAAGTACCAACCTGGATTTGAGACGGTCAAATAGGCTTCCACTTCACTGATATAATATGAATTTTCTTCCTGTAAAACAGCAGAGTGTTAACCTCTGGGTCATCTCCATTTTTATGTTTATGATTCTGACTTACAAACTTGTTTTGTCAGGATTCCAGCTATTATATCATTGATGTGGGGGCTGGGGGCACATGGATACTGAACCACAATGGTGTTAGAGAATTTCAATAAAATAAACACACCATTCCATAAATATAAAATATTAAGTATTGGCTTCTTTCTGGCCCTGGACTTTCTAGGCTTACTTGTCACTAGACCCTGAAACTCAATTCCACTAGTATAATTTGAGTCCTTTCAGTAGTGCCAAGTTTCCCCTTTGAAGCGCAACTACATTGGGAAGGTGAAAGGGTTGGAGGGACACATATGAGCTTTTCTAATAATTAATGTCTAAGGGCAGGAGTTCTTAACTTGACAGCACTCATTCCCAAGGGTAAACTTCATGGGATGCAAGAACCCTTGGAAAAATAAAGTATGCATAATTGTACATGCATTTTCTTCCATGAGATGTCAATGCTTGAAAGAAATTAATAGGCCCATGTTCTCAAAATGGTAAAATGGGACCCACAGGAGAGATTCTGGGAAGAAATGGTTTACCTTAGAAGAGGACTCCCATTTAGAAACACAAAGTAATATCCCAAACTTTATTTAGGGATAGTCCTTTTGGACAAAACAAATGAACTACAAAGTAACTATAACCTCCTCAGAGTGTAAAACAATCAAAGGAATGGAATTGGGGTATGAAAAGGTAAAATGAAAAGGGAATTTATTTCTTTGATACTGGGGATTTAATCCTTGGGTATGATGCATTCTACCATCAAGCTACAATGTCAGCCTGTTTTCTGTTTTTTAAAGTTAGTGATTTAGAGTATTCTCATATGAAAGAAGTGCAAAAAGTGGCAGAGTAATCAAAATTGGAATCTGAAGTCAAATTACTTTTTAAAAAGTTTCCAGTCTAATTGTTAAGAAATTTGACAATAATCTTTTCTTTCTTTCTTTCTTTCTTTCTTTCTTTCTTTCTTTCTTTCTTTCTTTCTTTCTTTCTTTCTTTCTTTCTTTCTTTCTTTTCTTT